GGGGCGAGCTGAGCAACCTCCTTCACCACCATCGTGGACTCGCATCCCAAACAGTATTTGAGTTTTTCTGCACCCAAGGCAGAAAAACATCATATCACTCACTTTGACCCAAGCCAGCCATGGGGGTCAGGAGGTCTAGCCTGGGGCCGTAGCTGTGTTTCTCACGTGCTTCCAGCTTATGTCCATGCTGCTGTTCCATGACCCACACTCTGAGTAAGGAGGCTGTAGGATCATATTGCCTGAGACACAGACCATTTGATTCCAACTTAGGATTGAGAGAAACATTTTATTTGACCCTATTATTTTCCTCCAAAAACACCTAGTAAATATATAAGGTACCATAAAAAATGCCTTGAAAGGTTTCTTTTGCAACAAAAGCTACATAAATATGAGCTCTGTGAAATTAGTAAAAACGTGAACTTGAAATTCTGTTGGTGCTAAAGATCTTGTGGGTACTTTTTATTGAAAGATCATGTTCCTTCAATAATGGACATTTTACATTAAAACTTTATACAACCAAAATCTCAAAATAATATTAAAATCACACTAAAGTATTTTCATGGTTAAGTCTCTACATAATTTTATTGTTGGTAAAAATATTGCAAGACACTTGTAACTCTAATATTTCTGCTTTAAAATAAGCAATTAAACTAAACATCACAAGGAGAGACAATACATACTACTATTTGCTGATAACTGGCTAAAATGATAATTTAATGTAATTAATGTATAAGAAACAATTGCACTTGAAAAATTTAAAAAGTAAACAAAAAACTCTAGTTTTATATATATATATGTCTATGAACAGAGGTTAATCATCTAAACCTTGCCAGAAGTGTTTGAGTTTTAAAAAAAAAAGCAAAAAAAAAAAAAAGCTGTGTATTTAACATAGCAATAGGATTTTTTAAGTCTTGAATTTTTTGTTTTTACAGAATTTCTCCCATAGTTTGTTGATGAGAAAAGACTGCAACACAACTAAAGCAAAATAACACTTCACTGGTATTTAGTGCAAATTTGGAGTAATGTTTACATGATATATTAAACATGTGGCCTTTAGAAGTTGTTGGAAGTGATGCTGTGACTGCTTCCCTCAATATACTCTTTGCTTAAAGATTTGGAAGGAAACTTTTAACTGAGGTATTTCTCCTACTTCAGATGGGCTTTATGGTAGGGGAGCCCACGGTACAGAGTGGACTCATCTACCATTCTTTGTTAATAATCTGATTTCTTTGTTCTCGGCCATTACTGTGATATTATCCAAAGCTGATAGGATGAAAGAAAAAGTCAATTCAGAAGAATTCCTGTAGCACTAAAATTCCAGGACTTTAGGTGGAAAAATTCCTATTAAAAAGTGTTATATTGGTGAGGAAATCATTGAAACTAACAATTGTCTACATATTTGATTTAGAAATGAACATCAGTTGGAAAACGTGCAGTGAAATATTGCTTCTGATAGCAATAAAAAAATTAAAGTTACATTGATTCTTAACAGTCTGAAGGTCCAGTATATATATAATATTAAATCCAACTTGCAAGAGTACAGCTGTCCATATGACCACACATGCCAGCTGCTACCACAAGACCGAGCCATTGCTTCCAGAAAGAAAATGCCTTCTGTGTGGTAAATAGCTTTGCCGTCACCCTTTCTTTAAGGTGAATGGGAGAGTAACAGCACAGAGCAGCAGCACGTTGCTGTTGAGTGAGCACGGAGGAAAGAATGGTGCAAACTAATACAATGGATTTTTTGCAGGAGAGGGAAAAGGGTGTAATTGTCCCCGCACCGGGCCAAAGATTTGTACTTCTACTCGGGAGTGAGGAGCTAAGAAAACGGGAGTGTGCCAACACCATGAAGTGTGCAGTTAGTAGCAGCAACGTGTGGGTTTGCTGTATGTCTGTTTCCTGTAAACCAAATTTAGGGAAATAGTGAATATATGTGGCTTTTAAACAGCCAGGTCCCTTCTTTGTATCACACGTGTATAATAACAAGGCCACTTAAAACTCTGAGATGTCTTTTAAAGTTAGCAAGGTGAATGCTCTAAATTATAAATGCTGTTGAATATTTGAGTCTAAATATGAATTAATTATGGTAAAGAAGGAAACTTCCCACAGGTGCTCCTTAGTACAAAGGCTCCAAATCTTAACCTTCTGGTTAACCTTCCCTAAAGACTTAAGGGAATTTTCAGAGACATGCAATGCCAATAGCCTCTTGTATCTTTAATAAACAGCTGGTGTGGGGGGAGATGGTTTTATTATTTTTCCCGTCTCAGTTTTGCTTCTTTTGGGTAAAACAAGTCTCCCTTTCAGAGGTTTAAAAACTAGATTACAGTAGAAGCAGTGTATCCCAAGGTCCTCAACCTTAGAGGCCCTGTCCTCACAGCAGGCCTGGGATGGAGCCTGGACATCTTAAGAACTGCACTAGATGGGGAGTCTCAGACAGAAAGAGAATTTATAGTTTCCTTTCTTTATATTAAATAAAATGTTCCCTGGGAACCAAATGGGCCAAATGTTTAGCGTGTCGGTAAGGAGAGTCCTGGTATGATGGGGCCCGCAGATCAACAGTGTGGGAGAGGCAGGATGGATTCGCTTTCTGTGTTACGGCTGCAGGTCGGGGGAAATCATGAGGACCAGACATGGGCACGGAGGGGGAGCCAGACTGCGTTGCAATTCAGTTACTGGCTGTGCTCAGGAGAATGGGCCTTATTTCTATCTCTACACGGTCCTTTCACCATTACCGTAGAAAAAGGTAGAAATCCCCAAACACACGGCAGGGTACAGGTTTTGGATAAAAGAAATGGGAGCAGAGAGTCAAAAAACCATTACAAAGATTGGCAAAAGTCCATGTCCAGTGGTGTGTGGTGTGTGCGTGTGGAAGGGCTGCGGACAGGGGTGGCAGGCTCTCCTGAGGAGTTCTTAGTCGGGAGATTTTGCTTCCTGTGGTCCCTCGGACAGAACTTTCTCTTTAGAACTAGGAGGAGCTCAAGGCACCAGACCTAGGGTTGTGCAAATACACTCTTTACAAGGAACACCACCAGTTCAGTTTCTAAATGTTATTTTAGCGCCTATAAAACATGCTTCTTTTCCCCTAGCTTGGTTTCTTTACCGCATATAAAAAAATAAATAAAAAGGGCAAGAGAGGAGCCAGTAACTGGGAATAGGAATGGATAAGAGTCACTCTTTACTTAATAATCTGTGGGCAGTCGCTCCAGGCCTTGGCTTTCCTTTTGGCCAAAGCCAGCCAGGCTGGTTCTGTTGACACGGGGGCAGCATCTGGGGTGGAAAACCTCTTTGTGACTTCTTTCACCAGTGGCGCTGGGGGAGTCGAATCAGAGATCTCCACTGGGTTGCATTTTGAAGGAAAAGGAGAAAGGTAGAAGTCAGAGCCATATTCTGATGTATCAAACAATGGGATTCAGAAAGGAAAACTCAGGGAAACACTGGGCATCATCGGTGAGAAGAGTTAGAGAAATCAAGCTATGTGACTGTAATTGTTACGTACAAAATTACAGTGATCACAGTGCAGTCAACTCTAATTTCAGAGAATTTCTAGAAGCATTTTCTTTTCTGTGCACAGGAGCTATGTCTGCATGATAATAAAAAATAAAAGGTAAATTTTGTGATTCCAGTCATAGAGCCAATTTCATGAAGGAGAAGATCAAGCGAGCAGTGTGAATTTATCAAGCTGGTGAAGTCAAAAGTAGCCGCCTCCACCAGGCATTCCCGGGTCCCTTCCCCCTCAGGCCCACAGATCCTGCCCGCTGGCTAACGATCCCTTTGCATCATAGCACTTTATTACCACAGCATAAAGGCTTCTTAAGGTGAGGGTGCCCCCACACAGCAGAACTCAGGAAATACTGATGGAAAAGACAAGTACGTCAGAACAAAGGCTTGCTTTATTAATCGGAGCCACCGTGAACTGCATTAACCCTGTGGAGCTTCCAAGAAATCAGGCAGAGAAAGGTGTAATCTGTTTGACTTTGGTCTGGCTGGAGTGGCTCAGCTGGTTAATCATTGTCCTGTGCATCAAAAGGTTGCTGGTTCTTTGACTTTGGAGCTTTGGCTTTATTTTGAACTAATTCTCTCTGACACACCCATATATTGTGTAGAATCCTTAATTCCTGGGTATAAAAATCAAATGAAATAATACCTATGGAGGCTCTTGAGAAATTGTACAGTGCTCCAAAGTGGTCTTCGAAAAAATTTTCTTCTCACCAAATAGAAAATACAGCTTTAACGGTGAGACCTCTTACAGTTCCAGAACTCAGCAAGCGGGTAACCGAGGCTTACAAAAATATCCTGGGTCTGGAGGCTGGCTGCCCTCCGGGGAACAGGGCTGCACAGTGGGGAAAACATGCCCTGTTAACCCCTGGAGGAAACCTGTTTACCTTTATTCCTTCACGTGACTGGTAATAAGCATATAGTTGGAAACATTATTGGATCATTTTACCTTTTATTAGAATAAAGAATTTTTAAAAAAATGTGTGTCTGTGATGTATCATGAATGTATAAACACTGCGGTTGTTGATTAACACCAAGGACTTTGAGCTGAACAACGTTGCTCTCTAAAGCCCCAGCTGGGTCAGACACTTGCCTCTGAAAGGGGCCATCTCACTTTGCCTGGAGCACTTGAGCCACCTGAGTCACTGATTCAGAAACACAGCTCCTATTTCCACCCCAGCAGGAGAACTCCAGTAGGGGTTTTCAAATACAACTTCCACCCATTTATTTTAACTTTGTAGTGTCAAAGGAAACAGGGCCCTGAGTCCACTTTTCAGCTGAGGCTTGATGTCAACCCCTTTATGTACACCCCATACCCTTGCTTTGCTTTAAGCCTACCAAAACACTGCTCCGTTTAAATTTCACCTGAACGTCACCCTTTTCCCCAAATTCTATTATAATCTTATCTCTTCCTTTGTTTAGAGGTCCTTATGATATGTAGTCTCCCGTACTGGATCAAGTTAATAAACCTGATTTTGTTGGACTACAGGCAGCTGGGCATTAGAGATGGCTCATATCACCTGTTAACTTCAAAAATTTAGCAGACCACATTGATAGCTTGAAACTGGGCATGGTGGGAATATTTACACCACAGTAAATGGCAAATACTACAAATCAGAGGTCTTTTTACTCCCTGAAGAGCTGATAAACACTGACCATCACACCACTGGCAGTGGGTGAGTTTCTAGAGAGCTTTATCAGAGGAGCTGATTATCAGTGCCAAAGTTGATGAGTGGGGTGGTGAAACTGCCTGTGCTCGGAAATGCCTAAAATGCTGTACTAGTTATGACACTGGAGGGAATACGGCATGCTGTAAGAAGGAAAGCCTGTAACTGGTTAAAGAGAAATGGTCCTGCTCTCGCTACCTGTCACAGAGGTGGGAAGGGTGTTGGCCTTTTTCAGTTGTTCTCTGCGCTCAAGCCTGGACACCGCTGTCTCCGGCTTCTTTTCTTCTGGCTGAGCCGTGGACTTGTGCAGGGATCCAGCTCTGCTGACACTGCTGCTTCCTGGCTGAGGACTGCCACTGACCTGGGTGAGCAGAGAAAGTCAGGAAGAGTGTGTTTTCAACCAAAGCACATGGAAAGACTGGCAGTGCAACGCCCTGGGTGCTTCTGCCTGTCATCCTCCAAGCTCTGCTCCCAAACGAGCAGCTGGTACACACTTGGGAGCAGTGTGTACTCAACCCTGGCCCCCAATCATGAAACAGCTCAGTACAAATGTCCCCAAAAGGGAAGGCCACTTTCCTAGAAGAGCCCCATCAAGTTACTTATAAGAGCACGGTCACAGAGGAAGACCGATTTTCTCCCAGGCCCAGCTCAAATACAGTCATCTTCATATTTCTCACATAACTGTTATGTGTGTGGATTACCGCTACTGATTACATCGTGAATTCTCCCAAATCAAGTTACCCTAACAGCATAAGGAAACTGAATCAAATTTCTAACTGCAAATGCTTTCCTGGTCTAATGGTGGTTAATTTGTTTATTGCTCTACCCTTCCTAGATATTCTACGCTGTTCCCAGCTAGTCTTTCTTTCTTCTTTTTTAAACCCTTGCAACACAAAAAGAGAGCCAAGCTCAGAAAGGCAAGGTAAACGCTGAAGACCATGCTACTCACGTTATCTTTGGAGAACTTTTCTGCCTGTTTGGCCTCCCTGGCTTGCTTCCTCTCCTCTCGAGTAGCTTGCTGCTCCCGAAACCCCTTCTGCTTTTGCAGTGCTAATGTTATCCACAGTGGCTGCGCAGTTTCAACTTTCTCCACAAGTTTGGAACCATCTAAAGAGTGTCTGCTCTGAAGCACCGGCTTTTCTGTGGGGAAAAAGAGACTGATACTGTGATTTATAGTAAGAAATATACATTTGGTCTTTGTCCTGTTTCTGGCAAGAGCTCCTAAGTGATGAGAGCATAATGGTGTCTCATGTTATGTTAATGAGGCTACTTTGGGACCACACATAGGGATGGGGGGCTGGTTGCCAGGTGAACCAGCTGCATGATAAGAGGGCTGGAACCTTTAGTCCTACCCCCTAACCTCCTGGGAAGGGAAAGGGCTGGAGGTTGAATCAATCGCCAGTGGCCAATGGTTTAATCAATCATGCCTATGTAATGAAGTCTCCATAAAACCCCAAAAGGACACGTTTGGAGAGCTTCTGGGTTGGTGAATAGGTGGAGGTGCTGGGAGGGTGGCCAGCCAGAGGGAGCATGGAACCTCCATGCCCTTTCCCCATACCTTGTCTTATGCATCTCTTCCTTCTGACTGGTCCTGAGTTAATCCTTTTATAATAAACCAATGATCTAGTAAATAAAATGTGTCTCTGAGTTCTGTGAGCCACTGTAGCAAATTACTCAAACCCAGAGAAGGGGTTCATGGGAAGCTGTGATTTTAACAAGTCAGAAGCACCTGGATCTGAAGGTATAGCCTTTGGGGCTGAGACCTTAACCTGTAGAATCTGACACTCTTGAGTTGAATTTTAAGACACCCAGCTGGCATCTGAGAATTGCTTGGTGGTTTGGGAACCCCTCCCCCGCAACACACACCTTGGGATTGTGATCAGAATTAGTAAAGACAAAAGCCAGCTTGCAGTGAAACTATTCTCTTCTATCAGTACCTCACCCCCTAAAACTTGACACATTAATCAGCCCACTAAACACTCAACTAACTGTCCCTTCCTAATACAAACTCCGTGCTGATGCCTGAGTGACTCCACTGGGTAGGAAAGTGGTATCTCTAACCAATAGGAAACAAGAGCATCACTCTTCCCTCTAAATAGAAAAAAAAAATCTTCAGTGTCATAAAATCTCAAACCTACAAGGGACTCAGGTAGTTATTTGGTTCACTGTTGTTCTTTTTATATTACTTTTTAAAAATTTATTTTTGCAAGAACACTTTCCCCCTGCAAGCAATATCCTATGTGGAACCCCGAAGTATGAGAGAGGAAAATGGGGCACTGTTCTGCTGTGTGGGGCTGCTGAGCTCAGCGGGACTCTGAGGAACACAGTGGGAAACCTGATTTTGGTCCAAGGCCCTTCTTTGACAGGCCTGAGTACCAAGGTCCATAGTGATCAAGTCCTGCGCCCAAGGTCACCCAGCAGTTAGTGTGCAGGTTGGAGTCTTAACCTAGGGCTTCTGACTTTCAGTCTGTGTTTCTCTTATGCTGACTGTCTCGCCTCCGCAACTGGGGTAAACACACCTCACGGGTGGGTGCTAGCAGAGGTTGGGCTCTGGAACTGGGCAGACCTGGGTTTGGCCTTAAGTGGCCTTGGGAAAGCTACTTCACCCCTCTACACTTGAGTTTTCTAATCCATAAGTGGAGATGATACTGGCACATGCTTCATCAGTTGCCATGAAGATTAAATGAGATCCTGGGTATCAGAACATTCAGAACAGTGCTTGGCATATAGAAACCACTCTACAAAGGGAGTGTTGCTGTTTCTATCTGTGAGGCAATGACCCCTTCTCCTTCAAGTAAAAATGATGCACGTTTAGGGATAATCATTCTGGAGTTTGAATCTTTTACTATCTTTAAAGGGAAGGGTGCACTGTAGTCCTGCTCTTTTGAAACCCAATAGAAGTTTACACTTTGATCATCTGGAACCTTACCAACCAGGGCTCTCAGCCAACTGAACTTTATATTGAGAAGAAAGAACCATAAAAAATTCAAATCAGGAATTCAAGCACAAAAAAGGCAGATTCTGCTTAATTTTCTATACCCTCTAGATCTATAATGCTATACAAAGAGAATTCATACTTATAATGAGCCTTTGGCATTGCAATATCCCTAATCATCAAATAAAGATTCAGTTATGACCTAACAGAGGAAAGGAAGTGTTTGTTTTTGTTTTTTTAATATATCTTTATTGATTTCAGAGAGAGAAAAGGAGAGGGAGAGAGAGAGAGAAACATCTATGATGAAAGAGAGAGTCATTGATTGGCTGCCTCCTGCATGCCCTCCAACTGGGAATCGAGTCCGGCATGTGCCCTGACCAGGAATCGAACCCTGGATCCTAGGTTGATGCTCAACCACTGAGCCGCACCCGGCCGGGCTGGAAGTGTTTTTTAAAACTGAAACTGAAAGGAGCTCTGCTTAGCCGGAAGTTTTACATGCGTTGGAACTAACGATGAGTTGTTTTTTTTTATTGAAGGGCAGTGTAACACCTATTTGTAAAATGTCCAAAAACCAAATTGCCAAGGTCTGAATGATTTCTGTGTAAAGCTATTCTGTAAAAGGGAATCCTAGACTAAACATTCTATCTGAACCTGCTGAGGAAGGTCATTAAAGCAACTGGCCAGTTTCCTGCCAACAACTCTGAGAGGTGGCTATCACAAGGGCCAAGATGCCTTTACAATGTAATTGCCTAAAAAAATTTGAAAAGGCAAATCTCTAGCCAGATTTTAATTTCCTTAGAACTGTAGTTTGAACAGCTCATCCCGGAGTAATGAGCCAGACGATAAAAAGATTATAACACACTATGTAAAGGGCTAACAGGTCTGGGTTGCGGTCAGGGATCGATAAACAGAAAGTAGGATGTTAACATGGGACTCATGTTTGAGTTTCTGTCAAGAAAGCCCAAAGGCCTGCAACAAAGTAATCAATGGTACCTACTCCCACTTGCTGGAGGAAAGTGCTACATCACCTACTTAAGCCTGGCCACTGAAGAAGCCAGCATAGAGAATCTCTTTGGGAAAGACATGGGGTCAAAGAATGTCTTTGATTCTAAAGACCTGGGGTGGCCTGCAGAAGGCATGACTGACAGGAATGGAACTGCAAGAAATGGAGAGAGTCCAGGTGCAGGTGAGGGGTCTGAGCAATGCACAGAAGTGCCCCACAGGGCACTCAGCACTGGGTAGTCCACCAAAGCAGTGAGCACCAACGCCTCACCTACCTCCTCCCTTCCTTCGCTCCAGCTCTGGAGCCTGTTTCTGGGCTGGGAGAAAGGGGAGAAGTCAGCCATGCCCGCATCCCCCCCGCAGGAGTATCAGCCTGAAGCAGGCCGAGTAAGAAGCGAGACACTTTAATCTGAAAGAGTGTTTGAAGTTTTGATTATGACACTGGAGGGGACATATTAATTACTAACATGAGACTGTTGTTACTGAAAATTCCTAGAGGACTTTTTCTTTTCAAAAGTGACTGAAAATATAGGAAGAACTCCTACAGTTGAACAACAAAAACTGGAACACCCAATTAAAAAATGAGCAAAGGACATGAGTAGACATTTCTCCCAAGAAGACACACAAATGACCAACAAGCATATGAAAAGGCTCAGCAGCACTAATTACTAGGGAAATGCAAAGCAAAGCCACAATGAGGGCATCGCCTCACACCCATTAGGATGGCTACTATAAAAACCCATCCAAACCAATCAAACAGAAAAACACACACCAGAAAATAACAAGTGTTGGTGAAGATGTGGGAAAATTAGAATTCTGTGCACTGGTCGTGGAAATGTAAAAGGTGCAGCTGCTGTGGAAAACAGTAGGGTGGGGGTCTTCAAAAAATTAAAAATAGAACTACCATAAGACCCAGCAATTCCACTTTGGGCATTTATCCAAAAGAACTGTAAGCAAGATCTCAAAGGGATATTTGCACACCTATGGTCATAGCAGCACTAGTCAAACTAGCCAAGAGGTGGAAGCAACCCAAGGGCCCATGGACAGATGAATGGATAAACAAAAGGTGGGATATACACACAAGGGAATGTTATTCAGCCTTAAAAAGGAAGGAAATCCTGTCACATGCTACAAACGGATGGACCTCGAAGACCTTATACTAAGTGAAATAAGTCAGTCACAGAAAAGACAAGTGTTGCATGATCCCGCCTATGTGATGTGTCTAGAGTAGTCAGATTCATAGAATCAGAAAGTAGATGGGGCTGGCAGAGGGCAGTTGTTTAATGGGCACAGAGTTTCTGTTTTGCAAGATCAAAATCAGTTGCACACAATGTGAATATGCTTAAGACTACTGAACTGTGCACTGAGAAATGGTTAAGATAGTAAATCTTATGTTATGCATTTTTACCACAATAAATTTTTTTTTCTAAAGTGACTGAAAGAACGGTGCCCAAAATATTATCCAAGAGATGTGGGAAAAATGAGAATCATAGATCAGGTTTAAAGGAACTGCAAGAAAAGGGGTAAGACAGGAAGGCCTTGCTAAACCCTACGGTGTTTTGTTTGTTGTTGTTTTTTAAATATATCCTTATTGATTTCAGAGAGAGGAAAGGAGGGGGAGAGAGATAGAAACATCAGCGATGAGAGAGTCACTGATCGGCTCCCTAGCCAGCAACTCGGGCATGTGCCCTGACTGTGAACCGAACCCCGATCTCCTGGATCCCAGGTCGATGCTCAACCGCTGAGCCACGCCCGGCCGGGCCCTACGGTGTTTTTAAACAATGTTTTTTTGAGCAAATGTATGACTAAGGTCCAAGAAGTAACATGAGGACATAATGAGAAAGTGTTTCAAAGGCTGGGAGCGTTTGGAGGCAGCCCTAGGTTACCGGGAAGGTGGGCCTACCTGGGAGGGAACTCCTCCTCGTCCTGGCTTTACCACTGTGGGGGGCGGGCAAGCCGCCTGACTTCTCAGACGCTGGTGTCCCCATCTGTAAAATGCAGCCAAGGCTGTCTATCTATACATATGCTGTGAGACTAAGCTGGGTGGTACAAATAAAAACACCTTGTAAATGATCAAGCACAAAGGACGACTGTTGAAACTTTCCAAAACAGTAAAATCGCTCATCTCATTCAAGGTTTTGAAAGATAGAGATGGTCTCTGTTAATCACATAATCTTTTTAGTCAGGGAGTTAAAACTACCTAATTAAAATTTAATTTTGCCGCAGTGTTTAAACCTATTCTCTCTCATTCTAAACTGTGGACAAGCAGAACCACAGCCCACTCAAGTTCCCTCCTTATGTCCTGGGGAGACAAGCAGGTACCTCCTGGCATCACATGGTTCTAATCACTGCTCCGCAGAGTCAGTGCTTAGAGAAAGGGTCACTTACTATGTGTTCTACCCACCATCAGGGGCTGGATATTAGAATGAGATGATATCTATAATCAAAGGGTTAGAGGTGAAACGTGTGTACGTGTGTGTGTGTGTGTGTGATCACTGTTATTTTAATTCCCATCAGGGTGGGTTCAGAGTCAATGCCCTCCCAGGGGCTTCACCTAGGTATTAGTCCTCACTGGCCTCCGTCCCAGGAAAAGAAACCTCTTTCTAAAGCAGTGGTCTACAAAAAAAAAAAGGGTGTGTGTGTGCGCGCCCTAGGGGATGTGCAAGGCAATGCACTGGGGGTAAAGAAAGAAAAGTTTAGAATTTCTATTTATGTATCTTTAAATATAAAAATAAAAGCGAAATCAAGTTTTTCTAATATTTGATGCTTAGACTAGCAGTGACATCCTCACTCAGCCACAGATCAGAAGGCAAGGTCCAGCAAATGGTATGTGTCAACACCCCCGAGGGAAGCCGGGAGCGCTGGGATGACGCGGGGAGAGAACCAGCAATCTTGTCCTCACTTGTTCTGCTTTTAGCATATTGTGAGGTTCTGCCGTTTGGTAAGTTTATGGAATATCCTCTCTCCTTTTGATCTAAATGATCCCTTATGAAATGGACAAACCGTAAATTCCTGCAAACAAACCACAGACTTAATATACTTCTAATAATGCAAGTGTAAGGACACGGCAGAGCTGACAAGCTCTTTGCTTGCCACTTTATGAAGAAATCAGATCTAACAAGAAGTTTGCCAAAGAAATAAAAGGTAACACCATGATTTGCAGTATGGATTTCCATCTACTGCTATTTCAGTGAACTGTATCCTAAGTGTATATATGTGGCCCCAGGGGTTTTAACATGGACACAGTCAATAAATAAATTGGAGGTCTAGGCATTTTTATTCTGATGGGGTGTTCAGTCAAACAAACTTGGTCAACCCTGGTCTAGAGTTGGACAGGAGAGCCCCAAGGTCTTTAGGCAGCAAACCACTCACAAGGCACGTGGTCCTTGTTTGCACACTTCTTTTCTACCAAATAAAGAAAAAGTCAATTAGCAGAGTCTGACAACTTAGAATCTGGATATTCTGATAAAGAAAAGAGGACAGGAATTGTTTTTGGTAGGAAATTATAACCAAAGGGGCACGTGTAAAAGAAAGGTGCGGCGCTGGAGCGTTATTTCTTTGGGGAGAAGGTAATAGTAAGCTGGAGCAGGCCAGGCTGTGAGGGGGCTGTGATGATACCACAGAAGCTAACAATGCAAAAGCTAATGTCAAAACTAAAAATAGGGGTTCTGGTTCAAGATGGTGACATGGGGTCCTGAAACCCCTCCTCCCTGAGGCACACCGAGTCTGCAGCTACATACAGAACAACTCCCTTGGATTAAAATCTAGGTTAGTGGTTACTTGAGTGACTCCTACACATTGAGCAAATGGGTAGGAGAGGCTGAGACACAATCTCACCATAAACCCCACCCCAGTGTTGTAACTCACGACCCTGAGGGATGAAGGGTTTGGACCCCACTTTTGGTGCCCCAAATTTTAAAACTTCTGCCCGAGACAGGCCCCTAAAACACTAGCTCTGAAAAGCCAATGGGGCTTGCGTCTGTGATACCCACGAGGTTATGGGGAACTAAGGGACCTTTTTTTTTTTTTTTTTTTTAAAAA